GAGTGCTGGCCTTGGGGTCCAGCATCTCAGCCAAGGGTAGGGGGCTGCACTGCCTGGGGATAGAAGGTTGGCTCCCTCCCTGGACCCTCTAGCTCCTCCTCCACCCACTTTCCCCACCCCTAGATAAGGTAGCCATTACCTCTGGCCTGTGGGTAGGGGGAACAGTGGAAGAAAGGGAACTGGCAGATGAGGCCAGACATCTGGTTCAGCTGCTCCCAGAGCCCTGCCTGCCAGCACTGCTGAGAGGTAAATAGACCCTTTTTCCTCAGGCCCTGAGTGAGGCCTCTGTTCTTGGGTAGTCGTTTTGGTTTTTGTAAACAAGCCAGTGAAACAGGAAATATCCTGGCAACTTTCATAGCACTTAGAGCAAGATGTTGGGTGTTAGGCTATCTTTGCCTAATGATGATGGCGTTGTGCAATTGTTTTTGATTATTTTTATTTGGTCTCAAAAGACCCATGCCGCTCCCTCTGTAAGCACAGGTGAGTTTTAGTCATGAATGAGGGCATCTGAATGAATTCTAGAACTTGCAGTTGTTAGCTTTAAAAGCTGAAGGGTCAGAAGTTTGGTTCCCACCAAATGAACATTTTTAGAAAACCTTATGTCAGACCTTTATGAGTCTTGGGAGAATGAGCCTCAGTTCCATTTTCTGCTGGGAATGTGTTTTCAGGAACATCGTGCGTTGGGCATCTTCAGGTCTTTGTGGCATATGGCTCATCGGGTCACAGGCTGAGTCCAGACGTGCTTGTTTATACCTATGAGCAGCCTCCATTGAAATGCCTCTTCTCCCACAAGAATCTCCCCAGGCCTCTGTTCAGGGCAAGGAACCATTTCTCATTTATATGAGATCATTTTGGGGCAGAGGGTTAGCTAGATCTCGAATGGTGTTTTGTTCGTTTGTTTTTTGTTTTGAGGTTTTTGTTTGTTTGTTTGTTTTTTGCCTTATGCCATAATCATGTGTCTGTGATGGTGACAGAGTCAGGGAAACCCCTATTCTCTCCCCATCTCTTGCTGTCCACAGCCAGAGGTGTGGGCACAGTTCTGGAGTGAGCCACTTAGACCGTCTAGGCAGGCATCTTCTTCCTCCCCTCCTAGTATTGCCTACTCAGTTGAAGGTTTTTCATCCTGAGGGTTTTTCATACTGGAGACTTCTGGAGACCTTCCAGCCTATCTCGCAGGGAGCTGACTGGTATCACCTGCTGTGGTTGGGCCTCCTGTCCGTCTTCCCATGCCCAGGACGGTCTGTCAGATGCCAAGTAGAGTCAGGTGGAGAGGGACATGGAAGGGTAGGCCCTGGAACAAAGTGCTCATAGAGCTGCTTCTTCATCCTCCCTGTTTAATCAAGGCCTCATCCCAAATTGCTCTCAGTGCCAGCAAGCAAAGAAATGCCCACAGAAGTTCTTGAGCGTTTTGTGCACATTTACCGAAAACCACTCTGGCAGCCATAATGGAGCTCTGCAGCTTCCTTGTAGGCCAATATTTCTTGGAAAACGAGTAACCTGGGTCTCCAAGGAGCAAGGCAGCCAGTCATGTGACATGGCAAGGAGAGGGCTGAGGTTAAGCCACATTTAGCAGGCAGGTCATATTTTCAAAAACTTTTGCCTTGGGTATTTTTTTTCTCTTTGGGGAGTCAGCATCCTTTTAATCATATTGTCTTACCCCTTATCCCTCCTAGCTCCGCAAAGCACTCTAAGGTATACAGCTATCATAAGCAAAAATACATTGAAATAGTTTTCAGAACTACATAATGTTGAACTCTAAGGCCATAAGGAGAGTATAGATATGGATCGTATGTATGTGAGCAAGTGAGTGAATTCGATTTTGATATGGAAGTTTTTATATGTATGTGTATAACTTTTAAATCAAGAAAAAAAGAAGTGTGATACCCTGGGCGATAATACCAAAGCTTAGCAGCTCAGTTCAGTGTCTTTTGTACTTTCACCCCTTCTGGACATTGTTTTGTTTGACCTTCTCTGGAAAGGCCCCAACTGGTTTCTGACGAATGGTGTGGAGGATGGCCTGGCCAAGATGGAGGCTTTAAATGCCCTTTAAAGCTGTTCATCACTAAAGAGCCTAAACTCATCTCTCACCATACCCAGCTTGGTCTCCAAACATTAATCAGAGTAACTGAAAGTTCATTATACTTGCACTGGTTTCTGTGGGTACCAAGAAAAGAGGGTAAAGATTCATCTCACCCACCAGTCAGTCCTGCCCTCCCCTGTATCCAGAACAGCCCACTCTGACTACTGACACTGAAATGCATTTAGCCAGTTGGCTGCTGTCGTTGGATAATACCTACTCAGCATTTGGGACAAGTTCCAGCATGTAACTTCTTCTTGGTGAATGATCCTGACAGGAGAGGGAACTGAGCTTAATTTACACCATCTAATAACCTCAGTGCAGCGGCCTTCCAAAATTTCCCCTGACTTTTCCCCAGTGAATTACAACGCCGTATTTCCTAATTGTTACCAGCACCACTCCCAAAATTTAGTTGCTATTTAGTGGTTTTCACCTTTCAAAAATCATAGCTAAGTGTCAAGATGTGTCTAACAGGTTCACAGAACTTGGATAGAGAAATGAGGTGGTTTTGGCTGCATTGAGAATCCTTGGGTGGGTAGACAGAATACTGAGACATCGCTGTGGTTGCCACACTAAGTGTTCTCAAAACCCACTGGGTTGGCTGCCCCCTGGGTGGTGGAAGGCACTCTAAGTAAAGCTATGGGGGTGCATAGTGAGGACAGGAGTCCCCTTCACCCCAGTCTGTCTTTAACTAATGCGGTATTAGGCTAAACCAGGGCCAAGTTAATTTCAGGGGTAATCCATTTCCTGCTACAAAAGTATAATTCATCAGAAGGAGGAGAGCCCTCCCACCCCTTATTATAAATGCTGAAGGAATAGAAATAAAATGTCTACACACACTTCCTGCCACCATACAGCTGGTGCTGCCACCCCAATCCCCGACCTTGCAGCAGATTCTCCCCCATCAGGTGGGCTTTGTTCCACAAAAATGATTGTGCTTGTTAAATGGAGGGTGCATATTGAGACCATCCACACTTCTGCTGTGAAATCCTTTAGGAGAAAGACAACTGGTATCCAATATCTTCAAGTAATGAACTTATCAGTAAATATAACACATGAGCTCATTAATCTTAACTTTGCTTTTGGACCAAGTGGGAGCTCTGCTTCTCAGGAGACAAAAATTTCATCTCTGTTCTTTTCCTTAAACCTAGTCCCAATTTAGAGTTAGACATATTGCCCTGCTCTCCCTGGGAAGCAGTTAATAATGTGTTTTCTCTCAGAATGGATAGTCCAGGCTGAGCCTGGTCGCTCAGGCCTCCACGCCATGTGCACATGCCCATACACAGCATGAGCTCAAGGCATCAGAGCAGCACTGTGAGTGTCAGCCGTGGAATATTATCTGGGTGAGGTTCATCTTAAAAGTTAAGGCTTTTGAAACTCTTGCGCATCCTAGCCACTCAGTCTTTGCTTCAATTTCTGCTGTTCTTCTGAAATCACCGCTTCCACCCTTCATCTCTGAAAAGAAAAGAAAGTGAGGATGTGGAGATGGACAGATCACAGTTTGCAAGGGTGGCTGCTCTGGCCATTGGGATCTAGGCGTAAAAGAAAGAAGTCTCAGAGAAGAGATGCCATTCACTTGGAGAATGAGTGAGGCGAGCATTGGCCTGGCACGGCTGCTGTGGGACACCTGCTCCCCATGTACAGGGAGAAGGGAGTTTCGGAAAGGATTCACATTCACCCCACAGGTTGGTCCTGTGAACCTGGTCTAGGCCCATGGGACCTGGAGGTGTGGCCAGATAACCGATGGGATCAGGTGGTGGCGAGGAGCCAGCCAGCACTGGCAGGTGTCTCCCCAGCCCAGATTCCCCTCCGCCCCCCGGGGAGAGAGACAGACCCAAGGGATGTCAGATATGTCCGTACGCACATCCACTTACCTATCAGCATTCCTAGAAATTAACCAGAAGAGGGACAGGAATACATGACATTCTGATACAACAGTGTGTGTTCCCTTTGTCCTCTGAGCCTCTCGGCTGACTCCCTGAGGCCTCTCATTGTTATCCATCAGGGGGACTTCATCTGTCCCATCTTCCTGCTCTGTTAGCCTCTCCTTCATTCTTTGTTCTGCCAGCATCACCAGTGTCTCCCTTGGACTTCTCTGCTCCAGAAAGAGAGGACAGTTGGCAAACCAGAGCCAGTGGGGTCAGAGTGTGGCTGCAGCCCCCTCCACTTCTGGGAGGGCAGGGCCCGTGGGAAGGCCTGAATGCATCCGGCTCCTTTGAGATAGCGATTAGAGCTCAACATTTCTGTTCTTTCCTCCTCTTCTAAATAATACCTTTTCTAGCACTTGAAATAATCCATTTTCCTTTGCGATCCCCCACTCCCTTGCAGGTTGTGGTTTGATCACTCCCACCATCACCCCAAGCCCTAGCTATATACAGGAGGTAGAATGTAATTTAAGCCGTAATCATTTCTGCTCCCTCTTTGCCTCCTAGAAATAGTAGGTGTCCTAGGGTGGATATTACAGTTTGCCCAAGCCAGAGAAATTGCTGAGCTGGCAGCTCCGTGTTCTCCTGCCTACATGGTAGCTGAGAGAGAAGGGGCTCAGAGCCCACTCATTTCCTAGAAAGTGGGTATGTCTCACAGCAGCAGCCTCCTTTGGGTTCTACCGTCTGGACCCAGGCAGGAGCAACAACAAATGCAGAGTCGGCCTCTGAGCAGCTGCCCTTGGCAGGGATCGTGCCCCTCGGGCATTCTGAGGACATCAGACTGACTTGGGGAGGAGCCGTGCAATGTGGAAGTGCTGGCCCTCTTGTTAAGGGGTGGGAGGACATTGTAACAAACTCTTAAGCAGGAAGAGCCCCTGCCCTGACAATACACTCACTGAGATGTCCTTCCCATCCTCCAGGCCAGAGTGAGAGCTGGGCTTTGGGCATTTGGTGGCCACTCTAATGGTCTGTTTTCTCTGCTTCTCCCGCTGCTGCAGGTTACGTGTTCTGTATGTTACATCGCCTTCCCGAGCAGCATGACTGTACGTTTGACCACATGGGCCGCGGCCGAGAGGAAGCCATCATGAAAATGGTGAAACTGGACCGGAAAGTGGGGCGCTCCTGCCAGCGCATCGGGGAGGGGTGCTCCTGAAGGCCGGGCACGGCCGCCATATGACGCTGTTCTTAGTTCACTAATGTTAGCCTTATTTAGGACAAAGTCAGCCAGACACCTTGTACTGGGCACGCGTCAGACTACAGCCAGTCCGTTTCCTTTCTTTAGCCAGCCATCCTGGTACTGTAGTTTAGGGGTTGATGGTGGTTGAAATTGATTTCTGGCTGGTTACTAAGGTGCCTGCTAGCCATTGTATAAAATTAAAACATGAAGAATATTTTTTTTTGAGCATGGCTAGTGGATTTAAAACAACACATACCTGTCACTGCTGGAGTCAAACTTATAAAAAGCCTTAAGCGGAAAGTGTTCCAGACGGAGACTCTGAGATAATAGAGGAGTAGACGCTGATGTTAAAGTTCCCACGACGCACATGGCTTTGCCAGAAACTCTGGTTAATGTCCGGCCTTTCACCTCTTCACTTACCTTTAGTCCCAGTAGCCAGGGTACCTGATGGCCACGTGTGCCTTGGCCACAGGAGGCTGCTGAGTTTGGCCACGTGGCTGGGCTTGGTGGTGGCCTCGCTCTCCCACAGAGCTGGAAATGAGGGTGGGGGGACAGGTTCTTATGAAAATCTTATGAAATTTTTTACCTGACTTGCTATGAAAAAACTCTCATCACACGAGAAGAAAAATAGTAACCTCACTTTGAAAATTAGCTCCACTCAAGACTAGTCCACATAGAGAACCACCTTCTACACAGGACCCCATGGTCATGAGAGACAGCGGGGCGCACCGACCCCACTGGCTCTGGTTTGCCATTTGCCAAGTACAGGGATCTGGCAGTTGATCAAATAAGGCTAATCGCAGCACAGCAGCTTTGGCTGGGGTCCACAAACTGGCCTCTGCAGCTAGATTTCTATACTGGGAGTTTTTTAAAAGACGTTTCAAAGCCAACAGGAATCGGTAGAAGTGCTGGGGAGCACCTGGGAAGCTGCTGCCCACAGACTCTGCCTCTTCCAGCAGGAGCCTGCTCAGCCCCCTCGAGGCCAAGAAGATGATGGCCTCGCCTCCCATGGCTGTGCACCCCCGTTGTCCAAGGACAACCAGTCCACATCTCCTACATAGCAAGTTTAGTAAGGGAGGCAGCATATGTTGCAGAGATGGGCGAGTTTGATCCATCTAGCAGAGCGG